CTGCGTCTTGAACGTTCTTCAAATCTCGAACAGAGGCACTTTTCTTATTGACAAAAGCTTGGGTGATCTTCTGGTCCAGTTTTCGGTCCACCGGTCCCGGTTTACTGCCAGATTTTGGTGTGTCCTGTTCGGATGGTGGTTTGGACTGCTCCGATACTTACTTCCTCCATTTTTGCCAAATTCCTCACTGATAGGTTGGGAATAGTCACACGAGTGGAACTTCGGATCAGAAAATGGCTCCACTTGTCATTTGCGAACACTAGCGCACCTAGCGGTAGAAGGCATCTTCTGCCTGCAGTTAAGATAGGCAGCATACTATGATAGTGTGAGTGCACATAGAAAGCCCATGTGGAACGGTACAACACATTGCTTGTTGAGCAGAAAAACGAACCACTATTTGATTCATCGATTTGTTTGCATTTCCCCTTCTGTTCTGTGGAATAGTGCACCATTTGTGCACGATCTGTTTGCGCTTTTCCGGGGAAATGCCTCGAATGATTTTGTAAAAAAATACACTTTGTGCACACAAACTTGTTGAGCAATAAGTAAACAACAACACACATCGATGAACAGCTGATAAACTTCACCGGGGTAAAAATGGTGGCGAGTTGAAAGTGTGCTTATACTTTCTGGGACACCCTATATGTAGATGTCGTGACCATACATTTCCCAGGTCCCAGATTTTTTTTCCATGATCGGGATTAAGAAATTCGTTTTAAGTCCCTGAATTATGTTAATTGGGTTCTTTAATTTTGAAAAACATATCGTTTTTTATATATCATCTGAAAGAGCTTCGTTTTCTGAGCACAGCGATAATTTTTTCGAACCTACACACTTTCATCTCGATTTTTAAATCAATATTTAAAGCAAAATAATAACTTCACTGTTTGACACCAAACTAACAAACTGACAGCTCGCTCCCATACAAAGTGACACCGAGGGGCGCTAATAAGGTGATTTTTGCAAATGTAATCGTTCTTATTTAAAAAAGTTATAGGGTACCAAAATTGATGAAATTTTGGGTTTGGGTTCCATTTTTAATGCAGATTACGAATATGCATTTACCTCAATACCCTTAAAGAACCCAATTGGTGTATGGTTGAGACATAGAGGTAACTCTAAGACCAGAAGGTCACGAAGAAACGTGCTCAACTTTTTGGCTCAGCTCTGGTACTATCTTCGGTACTAAGCTAATCGATGCACCACTCGAAACATAGGAAAATCCACGAACCCCTAATTTTATCTGTCAAAGTTTCATAGCGAATAAAAACAAACATAGTGTAGTACTAGAATTTCGACTAGAATGGGGTACGTTAACCGATTTGCTTGGGACCGATAGGATAGTCAAGTAGTGAGCCAATTTAAAATCGTTAGTTTCCACCGGTTGGTTGAGATGTTATAGGTTTTTCCTTGTCTGAGAACCCAATCCAAATAAAATAAAATCTGTCGTGTGAATTTTTCCATGTTTTGTGGGGAAATTTTGGATATATCTATCATTTCTATGTTTACCCTCTCATTACCTGAAATGCGTTCTACTGAACTTTTAACGATCTAAATAGACTCTCAACTATCCTTAATTTTTTGATTAATTGGTAAAAAGTGAGGTTGTAAAAAAGGTTCAATTTGAAAAAATGTGTTGAAATCGATTTTTTACAGAGCAAATTTATAAGATGTTAAAAATGTTTATGGTGAATCATGAATTTATACAAATTCTAAACATGTTGCTAGCTAAACACAAGGCTAGTTAAGTTTGTCAAAAATAATGTTAGTTTAAAATTTTGCCCTAGAATACATTTTTACATAGGAGGTATGCTTTGATTATTTTCAAAGCTATTAAGATTCATTTAAATTTTTGTATTGTAGGTCGACACTTATAGGCTTATAGAAGCTATAACCAGAACATGAAAATTCTTGACGCTTCTGGCTGATTTCGATTGCACCGAACCATTTAATTCGTTTCCCTATCCAAACACTTAGAAAAATTGATGTTAATTTAGGTGCTCTGATCAAAGTAATGGTCGCGGTGGTATTATGTCCCCAACATAGGAAAAAAAAGGTGCTCTGAGACTGACATATACGAGCGTCAATTTTGACATAAAATTGAATCATAATATAACATTTGGTTGCTCATTGCGCAGCGACTCATGCCGCTTGCCTTTGTTAACTTTTTGAAGAGCCAACAACCACCCAGCTAAAAAGTTCATTGCGGACTGGAGGTGATTTTCATTTCATTTGAAATATTCATTCGCAAGTTAATAGCATCATGTTCTTTAAAACATACGTAAAAAATAGTACGTCTTCATAAAGAATGTATCGAATGCGTCACCGGATGAGTGCTGTGTCGTTAGGAATTTATTTTCCAGAATAACAAAAACTCACGAGGAAGAGTATTTGAAGATATGGTCTTGGTCTAGAATCCAAAATGGAACATTTTCCTGCTTATTCTACGTATTTGTGGTTGAATAATGAGTTCTTAAGAGAGTGCCAAGGAAATTTCGATAAGAATACCAAGTGAATTGATTTTTAAAAGTTGAATTCCAAAACAATTCTGAAAAATCTGTCAAAGGATTTCCGAGCATAGTTCCAATAGCATTCCGATAAGTTTTTATTATAGAATACTAAGGAGCATTCCAAGTGAATTTTCAGAAGCATTCAGAGGATAACTTACAAACATATTTTTCTGAGCAGAATTTCAAGACATTTCAAGCTGAACATTGCATTAGGTCCTATGTAATATTGACAGGTTATCTTCGTCGTCAGATCACAAATCGATAAAAGAAGTTTTTATCTAGCATCTAATACGAGAAACACAACAAGAAACGGTTATGTGCTCAAGTTATTAACGAAAGAGAAAGTCGACGAAGAGAATCGATCAATTCGACAGTGAGCATGTATAAGGGCGTAAACGTGATGATCGATTCTCTTCGTCGATTGTCTCTTTTGTTACAACCTGTTACAGCACTACATTGAACAAATTCCAGAAAATTGTTTCGCTTAGCCGTAGCAATGTAAAGAGAAAATCGATGTTGAGAATCGATCTCCGTGTTTACACCCTTATGCATGCTTACTGTCGAATTTTACTTGGGACCTAATGCATGTTCAGCTTGATTTGGCAAATGTCCATGGCCTTTAATGTTGCTATAAATATATATGGTTGATTATTCAACCAGGGATAGGGGATGTCTAAAACCTCTCAAACAGTGTCCTCGTGGTATATGGACAGCCCCAATTATCAACAAGAAAAATGTCATCAAGATAGCCGTATAACATGTTATAGCCATGTAGCATTAGAGCATCTTTGGATGAACTCTCGATTAATTTTATTGAGAATAATCCCAGGAGTGGAACAGAGTCTCCCCCTGTTTAAACCGTTTACCATAGTTTGCTATTTTGGCCATACCGTAGAATCTTGTTAGTTTGAATAGCTAAAATCAGAATTAATCTGCGCTCATAGTGAATTTGTTTAACTGGTACCCGTGAGGTGCTCAATGGCGTTATATACCCGTGAGCGCTTTTTAATTGCGATTTTAGCTATTCAAACTAACGGGTTCTACGGTAAAACACAATCTTCTGGCATTTTGTGAACAATATTTATGTATATCTCGATGCATACGGTTTGAATCAACAATCTAGTAGACAATGTGACATATTGCCGAAAAATTGCCAAAATAGGTGCCTTTCCCCTACTCTACTCTCTACTCTGCAAAAAGGGTAAAACGCTGTATTTTTTGCAACAGTGTCATGGGTCATCACAGCCATGAGCGGGAACTGGTACACTGATGGTATGTGTCTGTATATTTGGTTCAATAATAAAAGATTATTCTAATCTACTATAAATCTTACCTAAGTGATTGGGTTGTAAAGAAAACATTCCATAATTTTGTGTTTTTAATCGCTGTCTCATTGTGAATCACTTTCACCACCACCGAACAGACAGTGGAACTAGAGTAAAAAAGTTAAACAGAATCAGGTACCGTAAAACGGGGTAAATTTGATCATTCTATTTCTTCAAGTGCAATATTTTTGTTGTAAGAATGTGTGATACAAAGTACTATATCTACCAAAACAACGAGAAACCTCAGTGATCAAATCTGGTCAATTTGACCTCGTTTTACGGCGCTCTCCATCATAAAAACAATAAGTACGATTTGAGTCACAGCAGTAGATAGTACTACTCTTTATGTTGTACACGGTTTGTGTTTATCCGAAAATAAAGAATGAGTGATATAAAAGTGAATGTTTCTTACTGATACTATAAAAAAATCTTAATCTGGACTGGTATAAACCCATTTTTGATGAAGATGAAGACTGTAGTAAATTCACAAGACTGAAGCTGGATTGAATTCCACTATAACAAATAAGTTACGCTTTTTGTAAAATTTGTATGATTTTTTAATAAAACAAAACAAAAATGACTGAAAGCCCCGTCTCGAAAAAACGTTACCCTTCTTCTGTTAATAGAAAGCAATAAATCGAGTTGATTTTGCGACAACCATAAACCAAGGGCTTTTTATTTCTGTTAATGATTACCATTTCGACTGACATTGAATAGAACTTGAATTGTTCAATTTGTCTCATCCATCGCTAGTCGGTTTCCATGCTCTCCCGCTTCGCAGTTTGATTGAATAAAGAATAAATTTTGAATTGCTTCTCACAAGTCCCTACCTTTCTATCTCGAACTGATCGAAACGCCCTTGGATTTGGACCCTGGACTGAGCAGAACTTTATAGAAACGACGCCCGCAGCATACCGAACACAAAAGGACCAGCTTTCTCCGGCCACTGATTTCACTTTTTTTTCACGATTTTTGAAATATAAATAAAATACAACCAAAGAGAATAAAAGTTTTCCCCCTTCCCCTGGAAGCTATCTGAACTCGGCTGATACACATGACATAGAGAAAAGTTAATAAAATCGAATAAATCACAGTCTGTCCCTGCTATAACGGTGTACCTAATCACGCAACGGTCTATCTCTCCCTTTTTCCATTACCCATATAGCTTCAGTCCGTCGGATTCCAAGTTTGCCAGCTGCAGCGACGACGGTACGGTGCGTGTTTGGGATTTCCTACGTTGCCAGGAGGAACGTGTTCTGAGAGGTTAGTTCGATGTTCTATGTGCGAGAGTGATGGTCAAGATTCTAGCATAATTTATACTTTGAAGGTCACGGTGCTGATGTGAAGTGTGTCCACTGGCATCCTCAGAAGGCGTTAATCGTGTCCGGTAGTAAAGATAACCAGCAACCGATCAAAATATGGGATCCGAAGAGTGGCCAGGCGCTAGCCACCTTGTAAGTACCGAAACCTATAAGACAATTCGTATAGCTGTAGATCATTTAACTTTGGAACGCATTTTTTTTTAGACATGCCCACAAGTCGACCGTGATGGATCTGAAGTGGAACGACAATGGAAACTGGTTGGTCACAGCATCCCGAGATCATTTGCTAAAACTGTTCGATTTGCGAAACCTGAGCGAAGAGGTTCAGGTATTCCGTGGTCACAAGAAGGAAGCTAGCGCAGTATCGTGGCATCCGGTGCACGAGGGATTGTTCGCTTCTGGTGGTTCCGATGGCTCCATTCTGTTTTGGAATGTTGGGTAGGTTGACATTATGCTGGCTAGTTGTAGCATTTCCTTTATTTTACCGAAGACCCTCATATGTACTTATGTATTCTATGCTCATGCACCTTTCTTAAGCTCAGCTATTCAGCGTTTCTAGTTCGCTGATCGTTTCTTCACTTTCGCTGCAGGCTCCTACAGTATTTGAGTGACTGCCCTGCTGACGGCATTGCGGATGCCTTAATCTCGACACGTTTCATCGACGGTAATTTCCGCGTTAAGGGCACATTGCGTCAAATCTAGGACAGTCCATATGCTGTGTTTGCTCTACATTTTACTTTCCGAACAAAGGGGTGACCTTGCGTGTCCGAACCGATGTAGGTACTTCCAATCAATCATGACCAGATAGGAATCGTGTTAGGGGGAAGATGACATCTCCATGCTTTCTATTCTCCCAGGTCGAGATATTCGTTATTAGTCTATGAGTCCATCCACTGTTCTCCGCCGTGTCCGATTCATGCTGCCACTTGGCCTTCGACTCCGCTGTCAACATTTTCCATATTCCTATGGTTTCCCTCCGCTTGTAACACTCACTGTCCTCCACCACTGCCGATAGGGATCATTCCGACGATAGAACATACTGCTTCCGACGAGATGGTTCTGTACGCGCTTTCGACTCGCATGGCCATGAGCCTGAACGTTCTGTTCAAATTCGCTGGATTCCGCTTGGTTTCCAGTGCTACAACCCAGGCTGGACCTCCGTACCTCAGTATCAACGAAGATACACTAGCCAGAAGACGCCTCTTGCTACTGTTTGGTCCAGAATTGTTCGGCATGAATCTATCTACCGCGTTAATGGACTTCGCCGCCTTCTCCCAGGCATAGTCGACGTGGCTGTGATTTCAGCCGTTGCACCGCTTTGTAGTTTATGATCAATAGCACTTCCGTTTTGTGGCAGACTATCTGCAGCTTCGCTCCTTATATCCATTTTGCAGCCGTTTCGGCCGCCTCGGTGCCCAAAATTTCAACCTCTTTCAGCGTCTCATCTGTTGCCGTTAAGATCTCGACACCTTTGGGTTGCTTGATCGTCAGCACGCCGTTGTACCAGCCATGGTAAAAGCACTGAACCCTTTTGCACGGGTGGCAGTTTTGTCTACAAACACACCACCAAGAGCATTGGGTTTTACGTTTCGTACCAGTGCTCGATGGACAACACCAAACGCAGCGAACAAGGCACCGGTGCCGGTGCCTTGTTCGCTGCATTTGGTGTTTTCTATCGAGCACTGGTACGGAGCATACAACTCAATGCTCTTGGTGGTGTGTAAAAGAGGCAGTACGCAGTGTAGTGTTGCGTTTAGACATGCCTGCGTTGTACATCCCGTTCCAGATCGTAGGACCAAGGATGGAGCCTTGTGGAACTCCCGCCGTGATCCTAATCGATCTCTGACCCACAAACTTCGATTTTTTTTTTTGCTGAGGTGGGCGTTTTATTTTGCTGTACATTAGTGAAACACTTGCCGAAATTCAACTTACAATTGGGAATTTTGCCGAGATCTCAGCTAACAAACATAAGTTTTGCTGAATCTTGCCAAGTTTTTCACTGAGATCCAGTAAAATAAAATGCCGAGCTGCTCGGTGGTGCCCATCTCGGCAAAACAATCTAAATGTGCATGTCTGTCTTATAGACCACAAGTCGGTTCTAGAAGCAAATCATCAGAATCCTGCACAGGTTGTCAGGAACCCTCATTCTGTGCCAAACCACAGAGAATGTGCACAGATAAGATATGTAAGGGTCTTTGCAGTTGCTCACCTTGTGACCGAAGCCGATGCACATACAGCATCTTTCCAGTTGCTGGGTAACCATTGGCGTAGCTAATGGGGGTGCCAGGGGGGCCAATCCCCCCCAGAATTATCTAGGCTCCCTCCAGATAAATTGTCTAGCTACGCCAATGTGGGTAACCCGAGGGGCAGCCTTCAACGAACACACTGACCAGCAAACTTTGCCAGTCTCCAAAAGTTTGTTAGCTGCGGCCGTCGAAATTCATATCGCCGCTCTCTGCGTGCCACAGTACGCGTTTGTTAACCGGATGTGTCCACGGTGTGTACAAATTTCCGAACATTTTTATGGACGATTGTCTACGCAGACGAACCGAAGTCTAAACCTCGTCTACATAATGTAATACCAAACCCCTAGTTTCCTGTATGTTTAGAGAAAGCAGCTGTCAATAATAGTAATAATATTGAATTAAATTCAATTATTGAGGACATTTTTTTCTCATTAACAACCTACATTATATAGGTATATGATCCTATCTGCCCATGGACGCATAACTGTCCCATGTGTATAGGAATTCCCATTGAACATGGGAAAAGTATGCGTCCACCGTAAATCAGTAAACGGTCCCTAACCTCACTTTGGGCTCCCTATCATTTTGCTTCTGAGTAAAAGAGATGACAACGAATGGGAGAAAAACAAACCACCCAAAACTGTCAACATTTACGGGTGAGGGAAAAGTGAAGGAAATCTTCGTGGACTGATCTATGTGATTGTGATGGAAATTTGATCAGTGACAGCTACAGCATGCTATTAAAGGTGATAATCTGACGCCAAATGCTATTTTTTCTCTGAATTGGCATTATCCACAATCAATACGAATTTTAAATCGGCTCATTACTTGATTAGCCCATTGGTCCCAAGTGCATCTATAAGCGTATCCCATTCAAGTCGAAATTCTAGGACTACACCTCGTACTACACTATGTTTGTTTTGATTCGCTATGAAAGTTTGACAGATAAAATGAGGGGTTCGTAGATTTTCCTATGTTTCGAGGGGTGCACCGATTAGCTTGGGAGCGAAGATAGTACCACATAGTACCAGAGCTGAGCCAAAAAGTTGAGCACGTTTCTTCGGGACCTTCTGGTCTTAGAGTTACCTCTATGATAATACACTTTTGATCCATATTCAGGTGAAAAAAAGTTGACGGCAACCTACAACCTCTCGGCAATTATTGTTAAACAAGCCTGTGTCCCAATTGGCGAGATAAATTTAACTCGTGGTTAAAAGTGACAGATGGAAAGTTATCGAATAATCCTGCTATCCGAGCGTGGTTATTTCTAGAAGGCTAGAAGTTAAATGACAACCGTGAATGAGTTCTATTTGTAAACTGATCGATCGATAACAGGGATTTTCGAACATAAGAAATAACTTTCGAAATGTCACTTTTAACCACGAGTTAAATTTAACTCGGTAAATGCTTCACAGCCTAAATAAAAATTAGTTTTCCCCATACATTTTTTACCCGGTTTCCTACCCCTCCACAGAGAGCCAAAAAAATCAAAATTTAATGAGAAAATTCTTTCTCACGAGCTCAACATGCCATGCATTTTAATGACACACGATTTGTGATTTCCCTCTCACAGACTTCAGAATAGAGTACCTAGATTAACATTTGAAATCCCTGTTTTTTTGCATACTCGGAACAAAATATACTTTCTAAGGTCCGCCCCATTCATAAAAACGGCAGGAAATCTTGTTAGGGGCGGGGCTTAGATCATATTTTTATGCCGAGTGTGCTTGTGAAATGTGATGATGATGGTGGATGTGATGTGATGTGATGTGATGTTGTGAAATGCCTTTTTCATATGATCGTAACCTATAGGATAATACCTAAAATAAAAACCAAGTTAGTTTTCCAACTTAACTATTCTACCATAATCTTCCATTACAGCACTGACAAGGAGGTCGGTGGAATCGACAATGCCCACGAGAGCATAGTGTGGACTTTGGCGTGGCATCCGCTGGGTCATATTCTGTGTTCGGGTTCGAACGATCACACGATCAAATTTTGGACCCGCAACCGACCCGGCGACCAGATGCGAGATAAGTACAATCTCAACACGCTGCCGGCCAGCTTGGCTGGTTTGGACGAATGCGAGCTGGAGGACCACGTCGTCATTCCGGGCATGGGACCTGAAGACAAAATCGACATTGCGGACAGTTTAGGCACTAACAATAATGGAGTTATTCCTGGTCTGGACTTTGCCAATGTTACCAATTTCAACGAAAAGATGAGGGAAAAGAAGATCCCCTACAGTAAACCGATTCCTCGCAACTTCCAAGCTCAGTGGAATGAAGCCAGCAAGTTTGAGGAACATCGTGAAACATCGGATGAGATCAAGGAAGTTATATCGCAAATTGTTGAAAGTACCCCGGGTGTTGTACCACTTAAAAAGATTGCACCGTCCGCTATAATTCTTTACGACCGAGTCATTCAGGTGCAGCGTAAGTATTTTGTAACTCGCTTTCAAATGATTGCCATGAATAACATTTACCCCATCATTTTTCCAGCTGGTTCTGATTTGGAAGCTGCTATTCTAGAGGGACCTACGGCATTGAACAGATTCATCCTGATGGGAAAAATAGTGGAATTGCAGGATATATTACCATCCATCGACGACGAAGATCTCATGGACGAGAATGGCGCAGAAATTCTGGCCACCAGGATAAAGATGGAGATTGATCCAACCTTTATCTACAACAAAACGACAGTAATCGAGCCATCCGAACCACCGGAAGCTACCGAACCGCTGTTATCATCTACTTCGTTAATGAAACGGAGGACTCCGCCTCCACCCACGCCGGATCCTACAGCTGGTATACCGTCTTTACTGCAACTGGAAATTGCCCCCCCAATGGATATTAAGTTTAGTACGGATGAAATAGAAGATGAGATGGCACTTAGGAACAGTAAAAAAGGCAGAGAACGGGAAAAGCTGAAGGAGAAAGAACGTCGTGAACAGGAAGAGGAGAAAAAGTTCTGGGCAGAACACAACGAGACGAACTGGGACGAGGAGGACATGGGCGGTGATAGTAAATTTGTATCGTCAAGGCCAATGAGGTCCCCTGTTGAAAGTCACAATACCAACAGCAACGGACAGTGGTCCACCGTGAAATATGAAAGTAGCGCCAGGGAAGAATCTGGCCTTGGCGGAAACTCCTGGGAAATGGAAGTAGATGGACCCGGTAACAGCAAAGATAACAGCAAAGATGGATCTGGATTTTCCAACCCACAGAAAAATTTCGGTTTTAATCAAGTCCCACCGAGCTTTGGTGGTCCAAACAACTTCGCTTCCAACAATTTCAATGCTGGACCGAACAACTTCAACAGTAGACCTATCAATTACAGTTCCGGTCCGAACAGCTTTAGTCAGGGGCCACCAGGAGGTCCAAACAATTTCGGTCCCGGACCCAACAATTTCAACCCTGGTGTACCGAACAGCTTCAACCCCAATGTTCCTCCGGGCTTACCACCCAACTTTAACCAGGGTCCACCGCCTAATTTCAGTTCTGGGCCACCTGGTAATTTCAATTTCAACGGGCCACCGCCGGGCGGTTTCAACAACAATTTCGCCTCGGGTCCTCCACCGAACAATTTCAGCAATTACAACAACGGAGGCAACAACTTTGGTCCAGACCAGGGAGGCAACGAAGGTGGTGATGGTGGGTGGAATAACAGCAGGGGTGGTAATCGCAGCAGAGGCAACAACATGGGACGAGGTGGACGAGGAAACCAACAACGTGGGTTCCGGGGTGGGAATCGAAGAAATTAAGTCGCGTAGTGGATAAGTATTAGACGTGTACTGATATTTTTCTTTCTTTTGGTTTGTACAGCTCATTTCTCATCGGGTTTTGTCAACCATTAGTATGTAGTTTAAAATGGGTGTATAATTGCGAAGCATAACAGAGAGTTTGTGTGTGTGTGAGAGAGTTTATAGTAAGAATTTACGGAGCAGTCTGTATAGCATAGAGCGCAGCTTGTATGAGAGGCCAATCGAACGAAAGTCCGTTGGAATGCAGAACTTAACTGGTTAGAATAAATCTAAAGTATGAAAATTACTAGAAGCTAACGAGTTACAAACCACCCCAAGCGGTATCTCAAAACTACAGCGGCACGTAGTGGTACGTAGTGAGGCCTATTCTGCGCCGCGAGTGATTTGAGGTGACAATAGTCACCTCATGTGACTCGATTCTCCATATGATTTGCACGGAGATTAGCCTCACATGAGATGGCTATTGTCAACAGCTATGACCTCACCTCATTCGCAACGCAGAATAGTCCTCAGTACAAATTTAGATGACATGGTCCCTAGTCAACCTCCAGTTTGCAGCAAATTTGATAGAAAAAAGACAAGTAGATATTCATTGGGAGGATTGCTTAACTGCAACCTGGTCCCAGGGCTTGTCTGTATCTTTACATTTTGAAAGATGCACACTAGTGATGTAGCGGACCAAAAGTTTGCTGAAATTTAACTACTAGCCAAAATTAAATAATTGTTTCTTTTTCTAAATAATTGAGTCTAATGGCTGCAATTTTTTTTATTTGGTTCAACACTTTTGGAATGGGACATCACACAGGTGCTACCTTTGAATATGGCTTGATCGAGTGGCGATTTTCTTTTCTTTAGATCAAGACGATGAAGTTTTGAAGAATGCAACGATATTAACTATCTGCACACTGGATCAACATATAGCCAGCCATGGTAGAGGGATAGAAAATCATTTTATTTTCATAGAAACAGAACCATGAACAGATCATCAGGAAAGCCCTTTAGTATGGGATCCCGGAGAAGAATAAAATTGGAAGACCAGCGCAAGCCACGATGTAGAAGGAAGCAGTCGATCGGCGGATTATTGGCAAGAGGTGGCTAATAACTGAAGCAAGTTTAAAACAGCCACTACAACATTGTTCACTGAAATGGTGGAATCAGAATACGAAGACTCGGAAGATACTCTCAGTGATTCAAATAGCGATGATCAACTGAACGTCCCGGATTTCAGAGGTTTCTCTAACAACGACGATGATGCATTCCCAGGATTTGTCTAATCACAATCATAATAATATACCATCGCGCTATTGATCAACTAACTTCTCGTACTTTTCACCAATCTCGATCATTATTAACAGGTAAATATTCATTTTATTCAATTAGTATATTATACTGTCATTACTGTTCATACTAGCATCGCAACTAATTTATTTAGGCATATTCAATTGATCTGCATTGGGTAATTATTTTGCATGCAATGCTATGGAAAAGGAGGTACTCACGAGTCAGCATGGAGAGTGTATGGGAGTCATTCTAGGGGTTGTTTGGGGCATGTGGTTCATTTCAGACATTAAAGTTTGACGTGATCACCATGATCCACTCACGTTCTGGAATGTGGCCTTGAAACTTGAGATTTGGCCTTCATAAGACCCCCTCCTGTCTCGCAAAATCAAAAAAAAAATGTTAAGATTTCATGCTTAGAAAAATGTATGATCTTGGATTAAGACTATTCTTCAAGATTCAAGGAGTTTTATTTTAAAATATTCCGGACATGAAGGACAAAACTAACAAGAGTATTCGTAATGCCGAACTTCGATGTTTTTTTGTTTAAGATTGCGAACTTGAAATGAATCATTTCATGTTTTTTTTTTATATTTTGGCACTTTGAAAATAGGAACTCGGACTTCGAATTCGAAACTTTAAAACATTGATTTTTTTTCAGATCTTAGACTTACTGAAATTAGGTTAACGTTAAACTTCAACTCTGGTTTTTATTGCAAAGATGTTCTTTTCTAATTGATTATCATATCTTAGAAAACGTTTGCAACAACTAAGTTGTCGTTTTACCAAAAATCTTCCATTTAATTCCACTTAATTATTTGTTTGTATCCATGACAGATACGTATTTCGACTACAATGTTACTTATTAAAATGACTTATTAAAATCTAACCCTCTTAAACAACCTCCTGACTCTTCATATAGCCTCAAGAGAACATAATATTTTTACCCGTTGTTTACACCACCCCGACACAGGGTGCTCATTTTACCCCAACGGTTTAATTTCGGTTACAAAACGAACATTTTGACGCAGAATTACGTCTTTCGGCAACATATTGGGGGTGCAATGTAAAAAAACTAAAATCGACCGTGTTACAAAAAGTGGTTAGATTTTGACCACTTATAACTATGTCAATAGCGGATGGATTTTATTTTTTTTTTATTGATTAATTTATTTGATAAGGCTCAAACGAATTAACTTTACAGAGCCGAGGTTTCTTGTTCACTATACAATACATCTTAAAACTATAGTCAAAAGGTACAACACAATAAACATTTTATCTTCCGCTGTCCAATAAGCCTTCTCCACCAGAACGGGAGCCGCTTCCAGTGGTTTCATTCAATAGCAGATTCGCCAACGAAGGTCTGAGCGCTTCCATTGCAGCAATGGACGCAAAACGTGATCAGTACTCACACATTCATCACGAAACAGTTGCTTTCAAAAGTCGACGACGCATCGACTGAAAGAACTGCTGATGAAGAACAATGAGGAGGACCACACAATGGTTGCTGCCGAGTAAACAGACGATCGCGTGACACACATTGAGAGTGGTCTGCCTCTGTCGACAGCCGAGTGAACACTGATTTTAATTCTAAACAAGTCAATCGATTTGAAATTTTTCTACAAACCTGCTAAAATGAACACTATCAATTTTCAATATGTCACTATTGAAAATTACACAAATATCTAACTGTTGCAATGGTGAACAAAATTATCAGCGAAAAGCGCTTTCCCTAACACAGATTTCAATATCGAATTCCATCCGGTCTCGCAGAACGCTGCTTATCACCGTGTGTGGTGGTAACCGACAAACCGACATGAATGATCATACAAATTACAAATAAATTTCTGATCAAAGCACAAAACTGACATCTGTCGCCGTGTTCGCAAAAAATATATATCCTAGCCACGAACACGCGTACAAAATTTATGAGTTGGTTCGTGTCTAATCTATTTCGGACAAATTGTTTTTATTTAGATAAAACATTTCTATGGTTTTGGCAGATGGGATCGCTGCACATTTGAATCGGCCGTTATGGATTCTCGATCAAGAGTTAAGTTTAAGTTTCATGTCGGTTTGTCGGTGTGCTGGTGTCCGGTCGGTCGTCATCAGCAGCAGCAGTGCTTTCGGCGCGCGGCGTTGCCCTAATAAAATGTGTATGGTTATTTTGCTTAACGACGTGTTCGGTGTATCATATAAACCATTTGTGGAATAGTTCAATCGTTTGGGTTATCATTCGTTTGTGGTATTTTTATTAGGGTGAATATTTTTCTCCAGTACACAACGAAAGGCTGCTAGCAAGCAGCGAGCTGCAGTCCCCATGAGCGTCCATTCACCGAAGAAGCCGCACCGCAATAGTTCTTCGTGAGTCGCTGTGGGCCATCTATGCCAAGCGCGTCACCCTCGTTCCAAACAACGTACAGCTCGCCAGCCTCATCTGTGTTGAACACCTTAATAGCTCAGCATTACTCAACCATCGCGGCAAAACGGTCCTTTTCAGGATCACCATAAATTTGTTAAAGAGTATTTTCTGGACATTTGTCAAGGTCATCAATCGGATGTCTATTTAAATCTAACATAGGGGAATTTACGTATTCTCGTCAATCTAAGCAGCGTCCGATCTTCTATTAGCGATTTCTCAGCGTCACACACATACATGACAGGTTTGTTTGTTGACATTTATCTGCTGCTTGCTGTTCTACCAATTCCAATCGATAGAACTGATCAAAACGGGTTGAACATGTTTTTACAACGCTCCAAACTTCTCAGGTGAGTGTGACTATTGTCGGCAGTCTCTTTTTCTTCGGCACCCTTTCCATTTGAACTGCGTGTTAACCAGCTGTTCTATTATCGGCAACTCGAAATCAGTCGTATTTTGTAGTGTGTATATTTAATTTAAAGTAAAATATGGCATAACAGGATTGCACAGTCGTAAAAATGTAATCAGATTGAAGCTGAAAAGGTAAGGAATCGGCTTAATACATTCAGCGAAGAGTTTTGATGGGAAAATACAGTGAAATTCACGTTTCAATTTCGGTTGCCGAAAACAGTCAATGGGTGCCGAAGCCATAATTTACGTTGCTCACGTAAACGTTTGCTCACTTTGAACGTTTGCTCACTTTGCTGCCAGCCACATCACCTCTAAAGCTCTTTGATAATGTTCCCAGCAACCAAACGTTTGTTGTCAAATGTGTAACAGTATTGAAGTAGTACATACAAATTCTCGCAATGACTGAATACCACATGACCTTGTCAATTAAGGACACTTCGGATTAAAGTAAGCTTTTTCCAAGACGCTAGAAAAAAGCAAGCAAATCTCGAATTTATATATTTGATCGTGAATATCTCGCGATATGAAAAAATTAGCAAGAAATTCCTCCAATAAATTTTCGCTCTTTTATTATCTATTGAATAAACTAAAAATTGCAATTAAATATAATTGCCGTGGACTTGCAAGGACCATTGCCAAGTTCCTTAGATAACTTGTCGTCTGGGCTAAGAATCTAGGGATCGAATTCTCGCCGCAGAAAACTGAACTGGTAGTGTTTACTCGAAAGCGGTACCCAGCCCAAATGCAGCTTAATCTTTTGGGCAGACACATTACTCAATCCTTGTCCTTCAAGTACCTTGGGGTCTGGTTTGATTCAAAGTGCACTTGGAATACCCATATTACGTAGGGGAATTTACGTATTCTCGGCAACCTAAGCAGCGACCTTCTTTCTATAGCCTTTTTCTCTAAGGAACGCACACATATGCAGTATTGGTTTGTTTACAATCTTTTGCTGCCAGCTGCTCTAACAATTTCAGTCGAAAGAATTGTCAAAAACTGTTTTGAAACGCTTTTACAAAGCTCCAATCTTCTCTAGTGAGAGCGAGTATTGTCGGCAACCCGTTTTTCTTCGGCAACCGTTCCATTTGAACTGCGTGTAAATCTGCTGTTCTATTATCGGCAGCTCGAAATCAGCTACAATTTGTAGTGCGTGTGTTTCATTTCAAGAAAACCTTGCTAGATTG